ATAAAAGGAGGCTCACACACTTAATGCTCCAAACAGTGTTTAATGAATAACCAGGAAGGTTTAACATCTTACGAGTCTATAAAGTTAAGGCTGCAGAACATATCTAAAAATCGAATTGTGATATGACCAAAAAATATATCAGAATAAAATTCTCAAAACCTGCGATTTAATTAAATGAACATATGTGCTTCGGGTTTCAGAGTGAAGCATGGCACTGTTCATTTACACTCAGCCTACTGACTCCTCCCACTTGATGCATTGCATTTTGGGCTTTGTAGTTCGTTTCCGTCACATGCGGCTCATGATACAGTCACAGAAAATGAATCAACACACTCTTAGATGCTGAAACACCATATCATGAGCTGTATGCTCATGAACACTGTACCACGCTTCATTCTGAGCATGTGGAAGTAGCACATGTTTATTTGCAAGCAAACCACCAAAATGAAAGCTTAATGGTTAAAATGAAAAAAACTAAAACACTAAATAGTAGTATTATAAATTCATAAAAGATTTGCATTAAACATTTGATTGTCTTTAATCACAATAGCAATGTTACAATAAATTTCTTATTTTGCTTAATACTTTTAATTACAACCAAAATATTTAGGTCACATTGAATGGATCAAAAAAGTGGGAATGTGGCCTATGAAAAAAGATGTAAAGAATACAGCCAACTGTGAACACCCACATTTTTTGAGGCTTTTCCCAAATCAGTCAGCTCCAAAAGGAAGGTTCACACACACACACACAGATCAAAAGTCATTTTCCAACTTATGCCCCCCCCCACACACACAATGCAGCCCTAACGGTTATTCATTAAACACTTTCAGAGCCTAAAGTAAACGGCATCCTCCTTAGCACCAGGCTCACACACTTAATGCTCCAAACAGTGTTTAATGAATAACCAGGAAGGTTTAACATCTTACGAGTCTATAAAGTTAAGGCTGCAGAACATATCTAAAAATCGAATTGTGATATGACCAAAAAATATATCAGAATAAAATTCTCAAAACCTGCGATTTAATTAAATGAACATATGTGCTTCGGGTTTCAGAGTGAAGCATGGCACTGTTCATTTACACTCAGCCTACTGACTCCTCCCACTTGATGCATTGCATTTTGGGCTTTGTAGTTCGTTTCCGTCACATGCGGCTCATGATACAGTCACAGAAAATGAATCAACACTCTTAGATGCTGAAACACCATATCATGAGCTGTATGCTCATGAACACTGTACCACGCTTCATTCTGAGCATGTGGAAGTAGCACATGTTTATTTGCAAGCAAACCACCAAAATGAAAGCTTAATGGTTAAAATGAAAAAACTAAAACACTAAATAGTAGTATTATAAATTCATAAAAGATTTGCATTAAACATTTGATTTTTGTCTTTAATCACAATAGCAATGTTACAATAAATGTCTTATTTTGCTTAATACTTTTAATTACAACCAAAATATTTAGGTCACATTGAATGGATCAAAAAAGTGGGAATGTGGCCTATGAAAAAAGATGTAAAGAATACAGCCAACTGTGAACACCCACATTTTTTTAGGCTTTTCCCAAATCAGTCAGCTCCAAAAGGAAGGTTCACACACACAGATCAAAAGTCATTTTCCAACTTATGCTGTTATGTTATATGCATTTTCACTTGACAAAATCGCCACAATCATTCTAGAATAATCAACTCTATTTAACTCAATCTAGAATTTTTTTTCATAATTACAGAGAAACTAAATATTGAACCCCCCCCCCCCACACACACACAATGCAGCCCTAACGGTTATTCATTAAACACTTTCAGAGCCTAAAGTAAACGGCATCCTCCTTAGCACTTTACGGATTGACAGAGCCTCATAATAGCACTTTCTGTGTAAATCTGCATTAAAAAAAATAGCAAAAGCCACCCCATGTGATACTGTGTCCTTCCCACAATCCTCTCCTCTCTAATGGCGCTTTTCCACTGCATGGTACGGCACAGTACGGTTCACTTTTTGGGGGTTTTCCACTGGGTACAGTACCTGGTACCTTTTTTAGTACCACCTCGGTTGGGGTTCCAAGCGTACCGTACCGTTACCAAAACGTGACGTGTAAACTCTGCTGATCACGGATTGGCCGGAGAGAATCGTCACTACCTGCGTCCCTGAACTTGCGACATGAGACACAAACACAAAAGAACCGCTAGATTTAAATCAGCACAGCCAGCGAAGGATCGAACGACACTGTTTTGAATGAGCGCACCTTTTTTTAACAACCAAAAAGTAGCTGTTCCCCCTGTTGCAGAAGAACAGACGTTCCTCTCGTTGATAGCAGAGGAGCGGATCCAGCGAGAGCTTGATGGGGTGACGCGGAATGAAAACATATTTTTAGGAGTCGCGCAGTAGAGGCGGCGCAACTATAACGACATGTGAATAATCCCGCCCACTCTAAAGCGATACTAAACTGCAGTGGAAATGCGAACCGAGCCATACCACGCAGTGGAAAAGCGCCATAAGAAACCTACAGTACATGTTTGCGTGATGGAGGGGAGGGGCCATATGGATGATTGGCATGTTCAGTTTACTTACTGTTGTGGGGGCTGGGGCAGGGGCTGGGGTATAGGGTGGCCGCTCTGCGTGAGAGAGAAAAGGGAAAAAAATTAATCCACTCTCGAAACTCGATCAAAAATTAATAATCAGCAGTAAAGCCTACTTATTTGTCACATCTGCATCAGTTCAATGTATATAAATCAAGTCACACCAGAAATGTTATTGTCAATTACATCAAGATAAGCACACCCATATTTACAGATTAATTAGAGAACGTAGTAATATCAAATAACTCCATGGTAAAGCATCTTTAATAAAGTCATTTCTGAAGATCTGATGGGTGGGCTTCAAGGGGGTCTAAACCATCAATCAGTTGAAATGTGCTCTTACTTGACATCTTGTTTGTAGGATTGAGGATATCAGGCTATCCCCGTCATTTGGTTCTGCAATAGGGAAAAAACTTATTAGACGGATAGGCATGCTTTCAATATGTGCATTTCAATATGTGCAAAAAACATAACTTGATGAAGCTGCACCATTACTTCAATCTGCTTTATTATCAAATCTGACATTTTCTGAACGTTTAACAACAATACACCCACCCGTTTAGCATTAAATGTGAAATTCGAGACAATGTTTGATTGAACTGGCCACAGTTCGTATCCTTGTTATTAATAAAAATGACTAAGATGTGGATTTAAAAAGAACTAAATGAGACATTGTGTTTATGGATCTCAGGCCTGTAGCGTTACTCAATGCGGATAATGGCTCACACAATGAGGCGAGAGAGCTTGCAGCTCGCCAAGAGGTTGATTTAAAGACAAATGTATTAAAACGACAGCTGCATGGGGAAAACAACACAAAGTGGTTATTAACACGAAACATAATGTAAAGGTGTTGTACTAGGCGAGCTATAAGCATCCCGAGCACATGATTGCCAGTCGGTGAAGATGCTAACATGCAAAATACATCAATGAATGAAAATGGCTAACGCCAGCTGAATAACATAACAGCGAGATATCACATGAAATACAACTTATCTTCGCATTTCAGGCAGAACATGGCTTTTAAATTATTTGGATTGTGTTTGAAGTTTTCAAAAGCTTTCATATTTTACAAACAGAACCCGCATTAGCTAGCGGGCTAACGTTAGCAGCTAAAGTCGGACAACCGTTTAAGACATTCAAATCACAATACGTGCCAAAGAACTGGGTATGTTTGATATATTATTACATATATTATAACGTGGATAGAAAGTTGTTTGTGGAAACCAATAATTCGGAATAAAGAACACAAAGTTAACGAACACTCACCCCCAGCTCCTTTGTTCCCTCAATAGTGCTCCGCCAGCATGTGACACATTTTGAGCTGCATCTGACCTGATTTTCTAGCACATTTCTGCCCCCCTACTGGCCATAAACTAATACTGTACTGACCAGACGCCAGGAGGAGAGAGAATGTGGTCGCCAAATGTAAAACTGCCCCATTCCGTCTGATTTAGCACCCAAATCTGCCAAGTTTAGGTCGATTTAGAAAAAACTACCCAACGTGGTCATATACACATACTGTTCAAATGTACTTTATTCAGCAAGGATGCAATAAAATGATAATATTTAGGTAATGGCTGCTAAATATTCAGCTGTGCCATCACCTGAATGAATCACATTTTAAAACAATGTGATTATGTACTCATTATTGTGATTGCATTTTAAAGTGATACATTAAAAATAGAAAACAGTTCTTGTCAATTGTTATAATGTTTTACAGTACTGTCTTACTGATTTTTCTTGTTTTTGTTTTACCAAATATGTGCAGCCTTGGTGAGCATGACTCGTTTCAAAAACATACATATCTTAGAGACCCTTTTTTGTGCTGTAGTGTATATCAACAAAAACATTTTTGGCAACAACTATTTGCCAGATTTGAAAATAGTTATTTTAAATGTCTCTTTTCAGTATGTTTAATAACTGTAAAATCAGTGCTATTTTTTTTGTATAAATAATAATAGTTAAACCTAGCATGCTGCATAAGACCATATTTTAAATTATATAGCCTATTCCTATTTATGGTACATTTAGATGTAAAAGATTACATTGAAGGATAACCATAAAAGTATAAGAATTGAGACATTTGAAAAACGCACTATTTATTTAAATGCTTATTATTTTGTTAAATCCATCAAAATATAGCAGTTTTCGATGCTAAATCTGAGCAGATTTGTCTGTTTTCTGTAACACACTCTCTTACACATTTATCACCCTATAAATATTCATATCATAAATCCATTATATAATCCAACTGAAAGCTTGAGCACTATATCAACATTTTTAAACTATTATTCAACAGACTGAATTATTCATTCATTTTATTTTGACAATCCACTGGCATCAACTTGATACCCATGTCTTCGTGATACCCATAATTCAAAAACATAATTAAAAAAGTAGAGAAACATTCACCATGACCACTTCAAAGATTTATTGGGCAGATATCACTCAATTCATTTAGCACTGTAAACACTTACGTAAAGAAGGCAACATGCTCCGAATAGTCCAAGATATAGGCTTGAAATCCTTTTGTTTGCCTCATGTCAAAGTAAAGATGAAATCCTTGTGCATAGAGCAAAGGTAGTTTTCCATTCGCTGCAACAAGGCTTGAGTGCACCTGCTGTTCAGATGCAAAGAACGAGAGCAGACAGTACCTCAAGACCCAGTGTCACTGAGAACCAGTCCTGTCTGATTGAATAGACTAAGCAACTGCTTTGATATATATTGTTATAAACATATAAACAAGTATAAAAGTAATTGTATATTTTTTTTATTGAAGAGTCCTCTGTTTTCTTCATCTCATTGTATGTATCCCATTTTTCTGTCTGTTGGCCATATTCTTCAGCGGTTACCAGATTGTTGTAGTAACTAATCCACGTCAAGCTGTTATTTCAGAAGCCATTCATTCACTGGAAATAGAAGTAGAGAATGTGCTGTCACATAACTTTCTTTGTGAAGCACAACACTTATTCATAAAGACAAATGTATAATTTCCATCTGTTTCAAGAGCAATAATCGTGTAAAGTGTCTAATTAGAGCATGCACTCAGCTTTATTGCACACAGCATGCATGCAGCAGTGCGTTCGTGACACAAAGCTTGCGTATGTTATTGATGGCAAGTGTGACACAGACCTCTGTATTGCAGCCTCAGCACACGGTTGTTAGGACAGTCCCGTCTCTGACTGAAGTTGATGTTGGTGCGGATGCAGCGCTGGTGCAGTGGCTGCGTCGGCCGCATGTTGTCACCCATACTGAGGAAGATCTGAGAGGGCTGGTTTAGGCTGAGGAGACGAAGGGACTGCATCTGAAATAATATATAATATAATATAATATAATATAATATATGTGACCCTGGACCACAAAACCAGTCATGGGTCAATTTTTTGAAATTGAGATTTATACATCAATATTTGGCCGAGATATAACTATTTGAAAATCTGGAATCTGAGGGTGCAAAAAAAAAAAATCTAAATATTGAGAAAATCGCTTTTAAAGTTGTCTAAATTAAGTTCTTAGCAATGCATACTAGTGAAAAATTAAGTTTTGATATATTTACGGTAGGAAATTAACAAAATATCTTCATGATCTTTACTTAATATCCTAATGATTTTTGGCATAAAAGAAAAATCGATAATTTTGACCCATACAATGTTTTTTTGGCTATTGCTACAAATATACCCCAGCGACTTAAGACTGCTTTCGTGCTTCAGGGTCACATAATATAATATAATATAATATAATATAATATAATATAATATAGAAAACATAAATTAATATTTTTCCAGCTTTTCTTCAGGAAATATGCATTAAATTGCTCAAAAGTGACAGTAAAAACATTTATAATTTTACTAAATATTTATATTTCAAATATACGCTGTTCTTTTGAAATATCTCTAAGAATCATGAAAAAACATGGTTTCTACAAAAATATTAAGCTGCACATCTGTTTTCAACATTGATAATAATAATAAATGTTTCAGCATAGAATGATTCCTGAAGGATCATGTGACACTGAAGACTAGAGTAATGGCTGCTGAAAATTTAGCTTTGCCATCGCAGGAATATATTACATTTTAAAATATAATAAAAAAAAGAAAACAGTTCTTTTAAAGTGCAATAATTTTGGGGAGAAATCATTTTTTGTGTGTTTTTAGCATTTCACCTCTATCTGTGAGATGTAAATTGGCTTATTCATTAATATCCAGGTTGCTGTCTCAAGGCACGGTGGAATAGTTATCGACCCTTCATATGTGATAAAACGGGAGGTTTCGGGATACAGCTCCTCAATATCGAGCCCCATCAGTAAGTAGGCATCATCTGAAAAGATATGAAACAGTCAATGGGATGAGGTGAATCACACACACTTACAATAAAATATTCAACAGCTTTCATCTCTATATGCGGTCAACATTCCTACAGTACAATTATGATATTTTTTATATCACTACTATTATTATTATTTTTGTTCTGATGGCAAAGCTGAGAGAAATAAAATATCACTTCTTATTCAAGACCACCAGGTGGTAATACAAAGCCAAGTTTGTTTTTCCTGTCATTTTTCATTAAGAGTGATGAAGGCCTTTGCAGAAGCAATATTTCACACTCAGACTGTGGAAACCACTTGACATAATAATACAGATGCAAGCGGTTTTCAATCAAATGTAATTTAATGTTAACAATATTAATAGAAATTCAATTTAATGCTACTAAAAACCATATTCATTTTGTTTAATGCCAACAAAAGCAACTTTTAAAAGTTAACGAGTGTGAAAAAGAGCTCCCAAGGCCACTGACACTAACAAAGACATGGGTATTTTGCAGACACTTACGTTTATATGTAATCCTCGTAATGGTCTCTCTGTTCAGCATGCGGTTTAGAAATACATTTGTAGGCTCTGAAATCTGAAGAGTCAAATTTCAAAGACAACATTACTTAAAGCCTGACATCTGCTTCGTTTCTGATGAAAAAGCAGAGTTTCATAAAACATGGTTTTGCTCAAAGCATTAATCACAAATGACATGAACGTTAACTTACTGCTGAGAGATTTCATTACGGCTTCACCATATCACAAGCACAATCAATAATAGTCTAGTAGAATTTATTCTAAGGGCATCTGGACGTGTTTTTTCCATGTACTGAAGATGAATGGCTTTCATCCATGTGCCTTCATTAGTAGCAGAATGCTGGAGGTTCCCCGTCAACACGATCACTGCGATCTGGGATGAAAGTGAACGGGGAGGCTGCAATACGGCAACACCTTCCTCTGAACCCAATTTACACAGTAGTCATGATTCACAGAGTCAGGGAGGCGACTCCTGCTGCGATCTGTGAGTCTGATCATGTCATGCTGTTTGATGAGGTTAAATGCCAAGGAATCGCCAACATTATCTCACTTTAGTGGTTAATAAACAAAAAGCAAGACAAAACTCGGTTTGCAGTTTTTAAAGGGGTCCTATTATGCTCTTTTACAAAGTCTTGATTTGGTTTTGGGGGTGTACTAGAACAGGCTCTCATACTACGTTGTTCGATAAACACATTATTTTTCACATATTTTACATTATTACAACAACTCTCTCCCCAGTCTGGCATGAACGGCTCGAATAGCTTCTGTATCAAATGAAGGCCCGCCTTCTGAAATGTGAAATGTGCTGTGATTGGTTAGCTGGGCCAGTGTGTGTTGTGATTGGCAGCACTCGGCGCCTGGTCGGGAAATGTCATGCCCCTTACCATAGCCGCCTGTGAGCTTCAGTGTAAATATTGCATCAAAATCAATTCAATTTGAGCGCGATTTAAACCCAGATGATTGTAACCACTCTTAAGTTCTTCTGCCTTGGGGAAAACTAGCGTGTCTCTGACAAAGTGATTACACTCGTTGCCTTCTCTAGTGCAGCTCAACCAGGTCTCGTCCCATTTGTCATATGTGTGATATCACAAATCCCGGAAAATATGCATTGTAGTCCAAACGAGTCGTTCGTTGTAGTTTTTGAAAAGTGATTTCTGTTAAATAAAATATCTCCTTTTGAA